TTAGCCGTGAGATCGGCGATCGGGTGCCAGTGTTTGAGGACAAGTCACGGCTCAACTATACGCTCGCGTTTATGACCGAAATATTACGGCACAGAAATCCGGCGCCGATCGGAAACTTTCACCGAACGGTTGTCGACACACAATTGGGTTAGACTTACTTTAATATATAAATAAAATTGTACCATACCTATTAATTTATACGTAAAAGTAAGTTTTAAAATGTAAATTTTTATGCTAAATCAGGCAAGCACACGGTACCAAAACACACCCAGGTACTGGTGCATCAAGTTCACATTATGACCGATGCGACAAAGTGGAAAAATCCGGACAAATTTGAGCCAGAACGATTTCTAGACAAGCATGGACAATTTATTGAATCAAAGGCCGCAGAGTATATTCCGTTTGGTTTGGGTCGGCGAGTGTGTCCGGGCGACACATTAGCGCATAGCGAATTATTTTTTATCCTGGTCAATATTTTGCAAATGACACGTCAATATCGTATTGAATTGCATGACAATAATGGGCTCGAAACCGATATTGGATCCTATTTTGTATGCTATCCCCAGCCGTATAAAATTGTACTGAAACCAAAATGACAATACAAAGTTACCTAGTTGTAGATTAATATCTATAAAGTTAATAGGTATAGACACGAAAGCAGTGCAAAAACAGTGCATTGATCACAGAAAAAATAAAATATAATTATTAGAAATATTAAAATTGTGTTGAAAGTAATGAATCAAACATTACTTTTATGTAAAGTTAAGTTTTTTTTCTGTGACTAATGCACCGTTTTTGCACTGCTTTCGTGTCTATATTAATAGGGTATCTATCGGCTATGTGCACATCTAGGTGCTCAAATAATATTTTAGTCATATATAATGTGCACTAATATGAGTTAGGGTTTAATAAAAGTTGTGAATTATATTTATATTAAACACAAATGATTTACGCTTTAAACCCATTCATTTACTATATGTATATTTCAGGTAATGATTAGTTTAATAGTAACCAAAATAGTGTATTATCGTATGGTTAATTCAAATAGTTATTACATTAGAAATAAAAGTTCTGCCAATTCCTATAATAGAGTATTTAGGTAATAGGTTAAAATTTTTACTTATTAGATTGCAGATAACACATATTTTTGAATATTAATGCTTATTATTTCAATTATTTTTACACTTTTAATTTATTTGTTTTTATAGTAATTAAATTAATTAATATATTATAATTAATTATAAATTATTTTAAAGAGTATATGCATTTATATAGCTATAATATACCTCTAATATTAACAGTTACTTATAAATTAAACTATTGTACAATTAATACACAATGTATAACTGTTTTGTTTGTTAAACAATCCAACCAATACAATCAATAAAGCAAAATTAATTTATTATGCATAAAAAATGTTATTGTATTTAAGATAATGCGACAAAATCAATCACAATTAAAACAATAAAATGATAAATATTTAACCAATTTATATAGTTAGTGGCAATATTATAAAATATGTTTAATTATTAATAGAGTAAGTAAAAATTTAAGATTATTACTTGAATAGCTGATATACAGTAGAACCTCGTTATAAAAATCTGTTTAACAAAATTAGAATTTGATGCTTTATAATAGATATAAACTTTATATTATAAAGCATGATAGAGAATTAATTTCATAAAAATTGAGAATTAAAAACGAGATAATTTACTGTATACTAAGAGAAGTGCGAAAATTGAAGGGAACTAAACAATATTGACGTGGTTTCTGATGCACCTTGTTAATTTGTTAACATTATATATGATTAAGCCATGAATAAGGTATAAATTACAAAGCATATTAAAATACTGTGTACGCCTAGATGTACGCACACAATCTTACTACTGTATACTATATTTATTTTGCTGTCAGCACAATCTCATACGGCCGGGGATTACATATGAAATAGGATCCAACATCGGGGTCGAGCCCATTATTACTATGCAATTCAATACGATATTGACTTGTCATTTGCATAATATTAACCAGGACAAAAAATACTTCGCTATGCACCAATGTATCGCCCGGACACAATCGCCGACCCACACCAAACGGTATATACTCTGCGGCCTTTGTTTCAATAAATAGCCCGTGTTTGTCCAAAAATCGTTCTGGCTCAAATTTATCTGGATTTATCCACTTTGTTGGATCGGTCATAATGAAACCTTGATGCAGCAGTACCTGGGTGTGTTTTGGTAACAAATGTTTGCCTAAATATCATAGCAAATATTATAATCAAAACATTGAAAATTAACTATAGAAACACACAGTAAATTTAATTAGCTTAAAACTTGGTATAGTGTACTTATATTAGGGTCAGTTATAGGGTGACCAACTCAAAATTTTTAATACCGGGATTTTTTGCAAAAACTGTTGAAAATTCCGGGACATTCCGGGACATTTAAAAATTAATCCAGAATATTGTCCGGGACGCTTGTAATTAAATAATATACGTTTATTAATATTCATTTAAGATATATTACTGATCTGATAAATTAAATTATATTTTTATAAATCAGTTTTTAAAAACTAATTATTCTATCAGTTAATATTAATAAACTAGTACAGTAAATTAATAAGTACAAAATTATTTTAAAAAATTATTAATTTTATTGTAGAAATTAATAAATTATTAACTTGTAACAAATCCGCTCGTACAAATTAGTAATAATAATTCTGTTGCTGGCTTAAATATTACAATTCAAAGTTGAATTTAGGTTAGTTATTTATAATTTGTTCAAAATTATATTTTTATTGCTATTTGCATACATTTGAAAACATAATTTTAGCAAAAAAATACAAAGTAAAATATACTTTAATTGAATATTTGTTTTAAAACCCGGGTGTAAACCTTAACTCTCTAATAATTTTTAATTTGTATATACAGTAAATGGTTAAAAAAAACATTGTTACAAAGACTTTAACCGTCCCTGTCCCAATCTGACACTTGCCGGGACACAGGACAAAATGTTAAAAACCGGGATTGTCCCGGCCAAACCGGGACGGTTGGTCACCCTAGTCAGTTGGCAAATTTATAGCCATGGTACAATTTTATTTGTATATTAAAGTAAGTCTAACCCAAATGTGTGTCGACAACTGTTCGGTGAAAGTTTCCGATCGGCGCCGGATTTCTGTGCCGTAATATTTCGGTCATAAACGCGAGCGTATAGTTGAGCCGTGACTTGTCCTCAAACACTGGCACCCGATCGCCGATCTCACGGCTAATCTCGTTGCGTAACTTTTGTTGATAATCGGGGTAATAGGCTATGTATAGCAATATCCACAATACCGTGTCCTGAGTTGTCTCCACACCAGCTATTGATAATAAGATTGAATATTGTAATTTTTATGCGGTAATATTTAATAATCTTTTATATATTTTATATATTTATAACGTTTATATATTAATGACATTAATACATTGTATTAAAATTTTGAAAGTCTAGAAAAGTTTAGGAAAGAAAACCTTTTGCAAATACAAAGCGAATATAAGTTATATAATATAAGTTATATAATATAAGTATTATATAAGTGATATAACTATTACTATATCATTGATTTAATGAATAATTTGCATAATATTTTTAATAAATTACAAAATATTAAAAACTATTTATACAACTATTTGACAGTTTTTTCTTAACTATTAGCGTAATTACTAATTATAATGGGGATAATAAAAAAATTATTTTCCATAAATTATATAATAATATAATTAATAAATAAATGGTTTTATTGATTAAGTTAAATGAAATGTAAAGTAAATACTGTTCATTAAATAAATGAAATACCATTAATGAGTCCACACATAGTTGTTATCAGATTCTCATCCGTTAGATATTTAGCCGACGGCTTGTTGTCCGCAATGGCCTCGTATTTAGCGGCGATAATTGTATCGCAAAAGTCACGCAAATTATTGCTGTCATATGTTTTTACGTGATTTTCGTATAAATCTCGCGCATAAATCCACATTTCGTCAAATATTGATTGATATTTAGCCAAAGGGTTTGCCATAAAATATTGTGCAATCGGTATAAAACCATATATAAACATTGAACTACCAAGCTCATCTCCAAAGTCAGTGGTAAGATATTTACATTTTAGGAGTTTGTTAGGCTTGTTAATTTTAATTCTATAAAATATTAACAATTAATAAAATTGTACATTAACTACTAATTTTATTTAATTAAAAATTGTGCTTAAATTATATAAATATAAATTGATAGTTACTTTTTGCTGAACATTAGTGATCCCATAGTACTAACAATTAGATGGTATACATAGAGGTTGGGCTTAAATGGTTTACCAATGCCCTCCATAGAAGTTACATTGTCGATGAATTGGCGCACGTTATCGGCCACCACTTTAGACAATTCCTGTGATTTGGCGTATTTCCTAAATGTCGAGTAAAGTATTTTATTTGCAACATATTATAACTTAGTTGATAACATTTGTTTATTACATTAATAACCATGTTTTAATTAAGACTTAAGAAAGAATAATTAAAATAAGTTATTAAGTGAGACAGTTATATACAATAAAAAATTAATAAAGTGTTATTTAGTTAACAATAAAATAATAAATTATGACATATACATTATTACATGTATATTATTTTGAGTAAAGTATTAATCGATAAATGAGAGGAGAGAGAGAGAGAGAGGGAGAGAGAGAGAGAGAGAGTATAATTATATTTATAATTCACACTATTTATTATGCAACTTATAAATTGTATTAAGTATTAAAACAATTATAAAATATTAACTTTTGAAATATTATTTAAACTTTAGAATATTTACCGGAGAATTATATACGATTCTTTGCGTAAACTAATCCAGCTCTTATTGTAATCGTTAAAACAGACATCTTTACGCTCATTTGTACAAAATATTGTACCTAGGTTAAATAAATATACTTTTGACAAATGCTTTTTATAATATTTATAAAACTTAAAATAATTATATTTCATTCTTAATATTTAAACAATAAACTTACGATTCATAACTAATTTCACGTAAGTTTATTTAATTACATTAATTGATAAAATATGGTAAATATTCTAAAGTTTAAATAATATTTCAAAAGTTAATATTTTATAATTGTTTTAATACTTAATACAATTTATAAGTTGCATAATAAATAGTGTGAATTATAAATATAATTATAAAGATATTATGCATACTTGTACTTTATTATTTACTATCACTTTGCATGTAATCAAGTTTTCAATAAATCATATTATAATTTTGACCTTTAAAATATTATGTAACAGAATGTTAAACTATTTTAAATATATAGTACTGTAATATATAAATGAATATAAGAAAATTGTATTCAATATTACCAATTAAAAGTGCTGGACGTCCAGAAAATTCACTTTTCCCAAACGCTTCCCGAGCCATATCGAGGTCGCATATAATCACAAATGGCATACAACCTATCCATAGGGTAAACACAGGTCCGTAGGCATCCTTGTATTGTAGAATCTCCTCTGCCCAATGTCGTTTATAATTGCGAAATGCTAGAACAGTTTGCTAAATTTATATTTAGATATTTATACAAAGTGAATTTGCCACGTTAATTTATTACTTGTAAAAATATATTTTAAAGTTATATATGCAACTTTTATTTGCAAAGTTTCAGGTTTATATTAAATAAATTACATGTACTGTACGGCATATGCTTATTGTATTGTAATATTGTTAATTACTGTATTGTGCATTTACATTTATATTGCATTGACTTTAATTAGCATTTTTCATAATCAAATTTTTATAAAAGAAAAACAGTGTTAATACTTACATAAAATATTCCCAATTAGCGGCAATGGTAGTGGGCCGGGTGGATAATTATACAGTTTCAGGAAGAATCGTACTATGTAGAAAACTACCAAGCTAATTATAATGCCCACTAAACCAATGTTTTTAATATATGTTAGGACACTGGAATATTAATTATTATTTAATTATAATTTCAGATTTAAACTACAATTGGTAATCTGTACCTTAGTAAGTTGATCATTATTTATATTATTTGATATTATAAAAATACTATTTTGATTATTATTTAAATTCTTTATAAAAAATAAAATATTATTTAATTAAACCAAAATTAAACTAAAAATGTACTTACTAGTATTAGTGATAACTAATGGTAATAATTATTTTGATACACAGAAATATTTGGTTTCTAATGTATCGAATTTATATTAGAAATTAATAAAATTTGATATTAAATTAAAAGTTTCAAGTAAACCAACGGTATAAGGTGGAATATTCCGTAACAGTTGTAACTATAAACATTGTATCTATTTGTTAACAGTTTATGAATACAGTTTAATTATAATTAATTTGCTTATTAATATTAAATAAATAATATTTACATTATTATTTATATAAACTTAATTACTCATTCTATTAATTCATAGAAAATATATTAGTCGTAAAGAAATATATTATATATTATGTCAAAATTAATCTAGAAATATATTTACACGGAATCGCATGATTAAATTTTCCTTATGATTAATCAATGATTAATAATCATGTGGCAGCATTTATGCCGAAACAATGAGTTATCATGTTTATTAATATTACAAATATTCCTATTATAACACAAATTATATTGGACGTTTTTAAAATATTTTATTTGTTGACAAATCTTAACAATTCAAACATTCAAACCTATTGCAATATAAATACTAATCATTATAAGTATTGATACATATAAAAAATTCTAGCAAAAAATACAGACATTTTTATTGAATTTATTGTAAACTATTACTAACAACAAGAAAATAATTTCACGAATTATAAATAAATGTTTATATCTAAATATACGGTATAATACCATATAAAATTTACAATTATGTGTATAGCAATACTAAATCAATAAATAAATTATCAACTAGGCCCTAGTTGCTAAAGAATAAAAACAAATTTATAAATAAATGATTATATAAATATATAGACCTCATTTATCATAAATAGATTATAATTAAAACCAATATAATATTATAAGACCAACAATAGTATTAAGAAAATTTATTTTATGTGAAATCATAAAATTGTAAAGGGTGCATATTTGTTTCATATATAGCTATGTTATATCTTATTATATTATTTTTATTAAATTACAGTATAATTTATTTCAGTATAAATTTTATATAACATTTATAAATATATCATAGTTATGCTTAAATTCATTTATTAATCATAATTAATTGAAATTCTAGTCAATCATGTAAAATTGACAATTACCATTTTAATAAATTAATAATAAAACATCTTGACACTAATTGTAAGTTATAAAATAAAATAATTTACATTATCTGGAAATGTTTGAAATAATTAAATATAATTCAAGCATGTTTGTTTTGAAATACGGGAATTCACTTATTCAAAATAATTCAGTATAATTGACAGTAAATTATTCTAAAAATGTCATATAATTCAGCTGTTATTTAATATTTATATTTTAAATATTGTAACACTTGTTTAAAAATTCTTAATATACAGTGACGTAAAACAATTACATTGAATTTATTATAATAAATAAAAACAAATGAATAATTTTATATTGAAATACCTATATGAACTAAATTTAAATATAATATAAATAAATTGTAGATATAAAATAAGAACATTCACAGAAAAACAACACTTAACATTAATCTACTCAACACTAATTATATAGTAAAATGTGTACCAAGTATGATTTTAAAAACAAGGTAGCCCTGATAACGGGGTCGAGTTCGGGTATCGGTGCGGCCACTGCTATACTATTTGCCAAAAGCGGAGCCCAAGTGGTAATCACCGGACGTAATGTCAATAAACTCGACAAAGTATGCACAGAGTGTACACATGTCTCACCAAATGGCCTGAAAGCGGTTCCAGTGGTGGCCGACGTGACCAAAGAGGCAGATCTCGACCGACTCCTGACCACTACTATCGATAGTTTTGGTAAATTAGATATTCTGGTCAATAATGTCGGTTCAGCCACTTTTTGTACGATTACTGACGATAATTATATGCAAACCTATCGCACATCTATGCAAACAAATCTCAATTCAATCGTTTATTTAACGCATAAATGCGTTGAATATTTGGCACAAACTAATGGTTGCATAATTAATATGTCGGGTATTAATGGCCAAATTGTTGTAAGTAATTATCATGCTTTGACAAAAATTCACTTACTTAGCATAATAATTAATCTAATTTATTAAGCTCAAAAATCTAACCTTCTCGTGCGTAAGTAAATCAGCTCTAGATATGTTTACTAAATGTCTGGCCGTTGAATTGGGACCTAAACGTATACGTGTTAATTCAGTCAGGTAAATACGCGCGTGGTTAGCTCATGGTTGTGTTTAATATAAAGGTATATTGTTTTATATATATACTATAATAGTCCGGGTTGTGTTTACACGGATGCGTTCAAGAATTCAAACCTAGCCATGACTGAGGCCGAGGGCCGAGCGATTTGGGACAAAATCGCCGCCAATTATCCGGTCGGACGTATGGGCGAGAGTGTGGATGTGGCCAATGCCGTGGCCTTTCTGGCCAGTGATCAAGCTAGCTTTATTACCGGCACCAATTTGTTGATAGACGGCGGCCATATTGCCGCCAATATTCAAATCGATATTTAAAATTTTTATATACCATGTAACTTCACGTATGGAAATTTCTGTTGAAGGAGCATTTTATGAATCCAATATTGATTGCCAATATTTTATTCATTAAATAATTCTTGTTAGATAAATAACTAACAATTTATATTTTTACAGTTTGTTACGTGATAGAAATATAGTGTAAATTGTACACCATACATTTGAAACGACTATACTACAACTTGAAACTAATAAAATATTCTTGCTAATTTTATTAAAATTAATTTTATTTAAATGAATGACCGAAATGTCAACCCGACCTAACCCGAACCCGACTCGTTCCGAACCATATACCTAAAAAGTATAATAATAAAATTAGTTATACAGGCGATTTTAATTCATTTTTAAAATTAAACAATAAATTATTAATCAATAGATTAATCATTTTTTAACTAAATAATTTACAATAAATAGTAAAATAGTCAAAATCGGAAAAGTGTCAATATATGGACAACCCTACAGAATATGCAGTTATACAGATCTGTAGAAAACTAAACATTTTTGATCACGATCTTCATGAAAGTTATAATTTTAATTTATAAGAGATTTAAATAGATTTTAAAATGAATTACACTTCATTTACAGGCTAAGTTATACCTAATTGTGCTGTTTGTTTCCAATATTTTATTACATTAAATTAACATTAATTATAATTAAAATCATGTCATTCACTAAAACCTCATTCAATAAAAAAGTAAATCAATATTTTTACTCTAACTGTCTATTAAAATCTGTACAAAGAATTATAATTACACTTTAATTAAAATATGTGTTTTTAGCAGTAATGAATCTAAATTTAATTAAACCAGTTGAATTAATTGTAATTATTATTAAGCTACTAACAATATAACTTTTAATACTTTTTGTGTTTTCTCTGAATTTTTATTAAAACATTATGATAAAAAATCAGTCAAAATATATTAATTGTTTTTATTCCTGTTTAAAATATTTGTTTGGCTTTTCATAAAACAGATCTAATTATTGAATAAAAAACTGTCTAGTCAATTTAACTGATTAATATTAAGTTGTGATGATTTAAATCACACATATTAATTTGTGCTTATATTTGCTATGATTTAAAGTTATATTAATCCATACCCCTTTATATTGCATTATTATATAATTTATTTTTGAAATTAATTAGTGGAAAATATTTTTAGTTTTGTTTTTAATTTTTAACATGTTTTCATAATTGAGAAAATTTTTAATAAAACTATACAACAGATTGCATATGAACTCCAATTTAAATACACGTATAACTTGTTAATGAACTTTAAATTGGATTGGTTTGTTTTTATTGTGTGTTTTGCTGATAAATAAAGTCAGAAACGATACGATAAACACCGCAAAGTAGTATTAAATAATTTATCCATAGTAAAACCAATTATATTTGACTTTGCATGCTCGCTTTTAAATATTATATTAATAATTATATAATAATTAGTTGTATTAAGCATATTTTATTAATTTAATAATGATTGATCCAAATGGGTAAGGAACGTTTTAATAATAACTATTGAATAATTAACTATAATTTTTCATTTTGCATTAAAACATTATTTAGCATTATTAGCTTAGCGTGTATATTAATTTCCATGGTAGTTTATTATATCGCACAATTCTACAAAAATCGACATAACTACCCGCCTGGTCCCATACCCTTACCATTAATTGGCAATATGCTAAGTATTACTAAGTATTACTAAAATGTTATTGTTATCTAATTTTATTATTAAGCCAAAATAATATTTAATATAATTTTAATGATAAAATTAAATAACCAACATCGTACGGTGTACAATAAATTGTTATTAATGAATAAAGTTTAACATAATAGAATTTATATGTAAAGCAGAATTGATATAAATATGTTATTCAAATTATTTCGTAGCGTTCCGCAAATACAAACGAAATTGGTCCATGGAGATTCTAGATTTTAAACGCATTTATGGCCCCGTATTTACCCTATGGGTCGGTCCCTTACCATTCGTGATTATATGTGACCCCGATATGGCTCGCGATGTGTTTAATAAAAGTGAATTTAGCGGACGACCCACTTTGCTAATGAGTAATTAATTATATCAATTTATTTATTATTCCATAAATATAACAATTTATAATATATGTAGATTTTTAAGTGCATTGTATTTGTGTTGTAAGAACTGTTTGGGCATATCATTGGACATTTACATTATATACTCTTTATATTGTATAACAGCACTATGTTATCTAACAATTTTAGTTAATAACTTACTATTAATATTTTTATTTATTAATTCTAGGTGGCATATACAATAATGAAAAGCATAATGATGTTATTTTCAATGATTATGGTCCGTGTTGGAAATATTTGCGTCAAGTACAACACAAAGCTATTGGGTAACTCTCTCTCTCTCTCTCTCTCTCTCTCATTCATTCATTCATTCATTATGTAATACAAACTATTTATTATAATTTATAAATACATTTTTATAACAGAAAATACGCCAAAACAAAAGCATTGTCTGAATTGGTGGCCAAAAGTGTGCGCCAAATGGTTGACAATATAATCACTAACGAAGGCATTGATAAACCTTTTCAGACCCGACACTATGCATACGATCTGTTTGCCAATATATTGGGCTCAATTATGTATAGCGAAAAGTGAGAATTAATTAATATGCGTAAAATTTTAAATTAATAAATGTAAATTTTTAATAGATTTGATAACAAGCATCCAGCGTTAAAGAAATATAAATATCTCACTATTGACTACATACCTGAAGTTGGTAACGCCATGATGATGTACGAGTTTGTACCTATGTCAAAATATTTTATGGCCAACCCGTTAGCTAAATATAAATGCTATTTCAATGAATTGTTGATTTATACACGAAATATATACCAAAATCACGACAAAACATATGACAGCAATAGTTTGCGTGACTTTTGCGATATACTAATCGCCGCCAAACACGAGGCCATCGCCGACGACAAACTGTCGGCACAATATTTAACCGATGATAACCTGTTGGTGACGTTAATTGACATGTTTATAGGTATTACGTAATGTAAATTGCAAATTTAATTTAGCATTAGTTTAGACAAGTTAGCAAGATTAAAACTTGAAATATCTGAAAATTATTTACAACAATATAAAATTTAATATTACACAAACAATAAATTATATAGCAATTATTTATCATTAACAATTAACAAACAGCTGGTGTGGATACATCACAAATTACACTCATGTGGATTTTACTATACCTGGCGTATTACCCGGAATATCAAGATCGGTTACACAGCGAGATTAACTTTGAGCTCAACAGTCGGGAACCGGTGGCTGAGGACATATCTCGGCTCAACTATACGCTGGCGTTTGTGTCGGAGATATTACGGCACAGGAATGTGGCGCCGATGGGTGTGTTTCACAAGACATTAGCCGACTGTCAATTAGGTACAGACTATTTGTAAATATACTTAAATATTTAAATAATTTACTGACGGCAAAACAACATGAACAATTACTAATAGATTATTGTGTATATTATATTTAATAAGTTTATTTGATTTTGGAATAGGTGCTTTTTCGGTGCCTAGAAACACCCAGGTGTTAGTCCATCAATTCGGTATTATGAATAATACAAAGTATTGGACAAATGCGGATAGATTTGAACCAGAACGATTTCTTGACGAGCATGGACAATTTATACAAACAAATCCCGGGGCGTATATGCCGTTTGGTTGCGGTCGCCGTATATGTCCGGGTAGAGCGTTGGCTATAAATGATGAATTATTGGTATTGGTCAATTTTTTACAATTAACCAATGAATATCGTATTGAGTTACAGTGTGAGCATGGTGAACGTACATTAAATATGCTTGAGCCGGATTTATTTCCAATTTACTTGTTTAATCCCAAACCCTTTGAAATTATTTTAAGAAAGTAATCAATATTAATTAATATAAAGCATTATGTATATGCTATAAAATGTACATTAATTATCAATAAGCACGTATTGTGTTAAAGTATCTATTAATGTTATTTTAATTATAAATTATATCCATTATAATGTATTATTGATAAATATTGTAATTTGTTTTAATTCATAGTCTATTAAATTTTTATAAAAGTGGTATAAAAAATTCAAAATTAAGAGTTGGACAAATAAAATAACTTTAAGTTTATTGTTTAAAAATAATGTCAAATAAACGATAATAAGATTTTAATAATATTAAAAACAATGACTTTTAACAAATATTTATCTCTGATATACAGTGAGTGAGTTAGAGAGAGAGAGAGAGAGAGAGAGAGAGAGAGATAATTATATAACTTAAAAAACTGTAAATAAATAAACATTTTTCATATATTATTAGTAACTATACGGTAAATTTTATATATGGGTCTTATAAGCAGCTGTATTATTTTTAATTTATATTTCTTGTTTGTGTGCGTTTTCGGTGCCTAGAAACACCCAGGTGTTAGTCCATCAATTCGGTATTATGAATAATACAAAGTATTGGACAAATGCGGATAGATTTGAACCAGAACGATTTCTTGACGAGCATGGACAATT